CAAGCAATCAACTGCTTTGGGAAGCATCACTCACTGCTAGGAGATCAAAAGCCCTGTTACACTTGAGCTGGATCAGCACTTGGCCTAACTGGCATGTAATTACCAGGAGTTTAGCTCCATCCAATTTGAAACCCACTTTTCCATCTTGAAGTGACATCTGCTTACCAAACAGTCTTAACTGTTAAAGCAACAACCTGGGGCTTTCAATTTCTACAAGAAAATGAAATCCACCAAGCGATAGGGTAAAAAAATATTTTTTAAAATAATCACGTAACTAAAACACCTAAGCTTTCATTTTCAGACATTCCTTCCACACTCTCCTCATACACGTTGCAGCAGTGCTTGCAATGGAGCTACTCTGGAGCAAGAACTAGAGACACTCAAGAGCCCATAACTGTATTTTAACCTGGCATCCAAGACTAAAGCCAAACTGCTTTTCAAATACAGGTAAGAGACTTGATAATGAACCGACTCGGCTCTGGCTGCACTAGTTTCTCGCTAGCCAGAGTGAGAAAGTAGGAGTCATGGTTTTGTCCAGAACAAATAACTGGGGAGCATCCAGACTTACCTGCAGAGGTGGTAAGTGACTTACCTGACAACAGAATCCTGGTATAGACACAATCTCTGACAAATTTCTTCTACTATCAATGGGGTACAAACCTGCCTCCAATTGAACCACTTTGTAATCTGTGCAGTCAGTCTCAACCAAAGTCCTCCGCTGACAGCTTTCAGAACGCTGATATTCAGCGGGATCATCTGCTACCTGTAACCTCCCCACCCCTTAACAACCTCACAAGATCCTGCAGATTTCCTTGCTATACAATTTGGCTTCTGCAACAGCACTCAAATTCCTTCCAAGCTCCAAAAAGCAGTCATCCCAGCCATGTTTAATGCGTGTTGCTCAAAGGCACAGTATGCTGTATCTGCTTGCACAAACACTACATTTGTAACCAGCTGCACTTGAAGTACTTGGACTTTTTTCTTTTTCTTACTTAGCAGCTACTGCACCTGGTGCCTTGCTTGCTCTGTTCTCTCCAGTCTGCTACCAGAAAACCAGAAAAATTCTGCTTAGTGCCTCATCTTCAAGACTCCAGGTTCCAGACTGGAGCAAACATATAACTTGCTTTAGAAATGAGCAAGGCATCAATTCATTTTTCAAACTATTAAATACTTCAGGGAAAAAAGTTCCCACACATAAGAATACACTGTAGCTAAAAAGATGCCAACCCATAAATTTAGATGGTTCTCATGAAAATTGTGACAGATAATTTCAGCTCTGTCAGCCAGATGGTTGGCGTGTCAAATGGCTAAAGAGATGAAGTCTTTCTCTCCTAATTTATTTTTTTTTCCAGCTCCTATATAGAAACACCAGCTTCAGCTCCTTTCCAGCTATAACTCATAACGTAACAGGCGTCAGCATGAGCAGTGTTACCAGCTCCATGACATCTCTCCTAGTGAATTCCTCTCACTCAATAGAGTCTTCACCAGTACACCAGACACCACTGTAAGGTGGTGCTTCAGGACTCCAGTACTTAAAAAAACCCCACCATGACAACACAGTAAACCTTTTACAGTGCCAGCGTGCAACCTCAGTAAAGATCACTGTACTATTACCATCGCTGACTTTATCACTGCTATTGGTCCACCCTCCCAAAAAATAACTGTTTTGCATTTCAGTTATCACAACGTTGTACAGTACAGAAGTCATATCATAATACAAGAAAACAAGGATTTTGCTTCTTCAATTTCAGAGTCACCGTCTGCCTGTTTTGGGTAGCCTGCTGCCAGCAGCTCACGAGAGAGGTCCCCCAGTTAACAGCCTACCCAGCTCCCTGGGCTCACCTTGGTGTAAGGGATCCTGCTGATGTAGGTGTAAATGCGAGTGTATGTGTGAATGTTGGTGATGGTGGGGCGTAACGTTGAACATCTGGAGCCGTGCCAACGGGTCATTTGTCAGCGATGCCATCCGCTCCGCGTGTATTCTCTCTGCTGCCAGTCTGTCAGGGTAGCTCATTTCAGGCCGTAACTGTGGGCCTGCCAGTGCAAGTCTCTCTCTTTCGAGGGGGTTCAAACCCGGATGGAAGGAAGCAAATGGGTGAGGTCCTGCTGTTGGGGGAATAGTCAGTGCACCGTGCCTGGCAAAATGCTCCATGGGGTTAGTAGCTGGATGCAGTGCATCCAGCTCTGGGGGCTTCACCTCAAAGCCAGGTTTCATCCTCTCTCTCAACTCCCTTTCCCGGATTTCTCGCTCCCGGATTTCCCTCTCTCGCAGCTCTCGTTCCCGAATGGTGGGATCCACGTTGTAGAGGCCAGGCATATGGTAGGCCAGAAGTGGATCAGTGGGGTTCAGGGGCACGAAGAAGGGATGATTGCGGTTTGTTGGTGACATGACATGAGGACGGGCATATTCACTCAGTGTTCGTAAAGCAGGTGTATCTGGACCAATGTAAGGTGGTACAGCAGCAATGGTCGTTGGTGGAGGTTCAAATGAAGGTCTCATATGTGCTGGCCCGCTGAGCTGAGACTCTCCAAGACGGCCTTCATGGGAGGAGCTGGATACCTTCTGCTACATAGAATGGGGAAAGAGAATTTTAGTTCAACACATTCGGCTTAAATCACTTCCCTTCTTGTGCTTCATGCTCTAAGAGGAGGTACGTTCAGCCTGCTGAGCCTCGCAACTCCTGCAGTTACGTGCTCCAATGTGGTTTGGGGACTAACTGGTTTCTCTCTGTCCTGTAGGCCACAAGATAACTGCTTTGTAGTGACAGCCTCAAAGCTACACTAACTGCTTTACAGTTAGTAGAGCAGTGACTAGTTGGCACGTGTCACAGCTACGGGCAACACCTGACTGGTACATGTCACCGCAGACTACCAGTCTTGTTTGCAGTGTGTTCCTCCTGTCCTCTCCACACTCGCTTGTATCCTAAAACTTAAGAAACCCAAGGAAACTCATCTCCAAGACACACAACACAACAAAATCCACTCCTTTCACATCAAGACTTTGCATCCTGCTCTCTCCTCCTGTACAAGAGCAACAGAGCACTTCTGGGGAGGGCAACAACAACAGTTTACCCATGCAATTGCCCGAGGATCTCTATGCTCAAAACAAAGCCAAGTCCCCATACATGACATCTTTTAAAGGACAAATGCTATATCCTGACTTTTATAATCCTACAGAAACATATAGCTGTGATTCAGATCTCTGAAACACACCATGGAACAGGAAGACTGTAGCACCTTCTTTTTCAGCATCAATAATGTATTACCAACCTAACAATTCTGTGGACTAAGTAACCATTCCTTTCCGACAGGCCACAGAAAAATGGTTTAGTTGTATTGGCTCTTTATATCAAGACTGGAGTTTGGGTCTCCCCATAAAAAAAGAAATTTACAGGCCTTTAAGTTTACGTCAATTTTAAAAAGCCTTCAGATCTCCTTCTTCTAGCAGACCGCACTCCTGTGCCTGCACAGTACTACAAGGTACACAAAGGTATCCACTATACCTGCACAGAGTGCTTTTCTACTGCAAGTAAACATAAATACTTGGCCTCCTTATCCCCAGTTGCCTTGGCTCCCCCCACATCAGGAACAGACCAGGAGCAGAGACTCTCCATTTCCTTTAAAGAGAAGAAAGTCAGGCAGGCCAGGAGGTGCCCATTGCTGGCTGGCTTTCACTTAATACATAAGGCTCCCATATTCCCAAATACCTGACTGCACATGCATTAAAGTGCTTCTGGGGATTTGCATTCTGTTGTCACCATCCAGGTGAGATCCTACCACGCCAAATCCCTTACATGGCTCTTAGCTACAAATAAACCTACCGCAGCTCTTTCTGCTTCTCTTTCACGCTCCCGCTCCCTCTCTCTTTCCTTCTCTTTTTCCTTTTCTCTTTCTCTCTCTTCTCTGGCTTTCTGCTCTGCTTCTCTTTTGGCCTTTTCAATGGCCTCTTCTCTCTTCTTGGCCAGTTTTGATCCTGCCAGAGGCATGAAGTATAAGTCTGCTCTTGAGCATGAATTGTAGCCACGGTCCAAGTGCTTATAGAACCTGGAAGAAACAAAACAGAAAGAGTTTAGCCCTGGGAAAGATGCAAGAGTCTGGGATTTAAGAGCTGTATGTCCGAAAGAAAAAGTGTCACTCTACACTTCCACAATAGCACTACCAGCTTCTGAAAGCCACAAGAAAATTAATTATACCATATTACTCCACAGCCAAGTGGAGCATAAAACCTATCTCACAATTGCAAACTGTAATGCCCTGCCTGAATATGTGGGCTGAAACAGCACCTTTCCAGACAAACAGAGCAAAATCACACTAGAAAGAGAGGCTGATGAGATGCTCGTGTAAAATACACTCAGCTCCCACAGAAGCTCCTTTCTCAGCTTTTGAGAGTGCCCTGCTACACAGAAAACCAGAATGAATCAAGGAAGCACTGCTGACAACCTCCATACCTGGCTGACTGACTAGCATGACTTGGTGTATCCACCACAGTAGGTTCTGGTGATGGGCTTCTGGGTGGAGGGGGAGGACTTTCTGGTTCCTCAGCTTCATCTGGGACTTCTTCTTTGATTTGAATAGGTGGCAGTGTGCAGGCTGTCACCACTGGCACGTTTCCACTAGAAGCTGCTGATGTGGAGATGGAAGTCTGAAGTGGGATGCCAGGCACAGTGGGTGGCGTGGAAGTGGAGGGGCAAGAAGGAGGGGTGATGGAAGATGGGCCTCCTGGGACAAATGGATGCTGAGAAAAGGGGGGCTGGGAGGATACCTGATGGAGTCCAGATGGGGGGTGATTAGCAGGTGGGGGAAGACTCTGGCTCTGTGTCAGTACAGGAGGCTGGGCTTGTGAAGACTGCAGTGGTTGGCTTTGAGGCATCAGCTGCAAAGGAGGAGGGTGTGCAGAAGGAGGATGATGAGTTGAGAGGGAGCTCAGAGGTTTTAAAGCAGGTGGTGGAGGCAAGTTGGAGTTCATTGAGAATGGAGATGGGCCAGAGAGATGAGGAGGGTGCTTGTGAGATGGAGCAGTGGGGAGCTGAGGGATTGGGGTAGTAGGGGGAGGTTTGATGTGAGGCATGGCCATGGGTGCAGGGGGCAAGGGCTGCTCCCGTGGAGGCTGAGCCTGCTGCAGCGAGGTTGCAGCTGGCAGGACAGGCTGCGTCACCTGAACCTGGAGAGCGGAGTGAGAATGAGATGGTGCTTGTGTCTGAAGGGGAACCTGAGACTGAGATGACTGAGTGGGGAGGGAAAATGGCTGGGAAGGTACAGGATGAGGCAGGAGGGGCTGAGCCTGCAGGTTGTGAGGGGCTGGCTGGGCCTGACTGTGGAGCGGCGGCTGCGAGTGCGGCTGCGAAGAGGCCGGGGTCGGCTGGCTCTGCGACACGCTCAAGGGCTGCAGAGGTGGATGGGGCGATGGCAGCCTCTGCGGGTGCAACGCAGGGGCCTGCTGTATGTGAGAATGCGGCGGCGGCGGCGCAGGGGCCTGGGGCTGGCCGGAGGGCTGGGATGCTGACGGCGAGACCTGCGGTGGAGCTGGATTTGGATGCTGGTAGCTGGGCTGATACAGGTGGCGTAGGAGGGGGAGCCTGGCCAGAACCACTCTGTGCCTGCAGCACCTGGGGCTGTGCCTGCAGCACTTGCTGTTGGGCAGAGGAATCTGAGTCACTCTCATTGTCTTGAGGGCTAGGGATGCTGGGCGATGTGCTCCGGTTGTCCTGGTCAATGTCCTTGGGATCACTGCTCCCTTCGTCATTGACACTGCGGCTGTCAGAGCTCTCGCCTTCGCCCTCGCCCTCCGAGGGAGAGTTTGGCCTGCTGATCTCCTGCAGGGAGAGCGGGAAGAATAACCACTGTGCATGAGAAAACCACACAAAGAACTTTACCAGCATGCCACAGGATGGAACCTATCACACATGCTGTGCAAACACAAGTGCAAGTACCACCCTTGAAACAGCACAGGTAACAAACATCCAAAGGGAGGGTGCAAAGACAACGGAGCCAGGCTCTTTAGTAGTGTCCACTGGCAACGGGCACAAACTGAAATACAGCAAGTTCTGCCTGAACATAATGAAACACTTTTTCACTATGAGGGACACCAAGCAATGGAATGGGTTGCCCAGAGAGGCTGCGGACTCTGTGAAATATCTTTGGAGATATTCAAAAGCCTTCTGGGCATAGTCCTGGGCAGTTGGCTCTAGGTGGCCCTGCTTGAGCAGAGGGGTTGGACTAGACTTCCAGGTCCCTTCCAACCACAACCGTTCCGTGATTCTGTAATATGGAAAGCTCAATGCCAAAATTTCCAAGTCCTGTGCACAGAGTGAACCTGGTCAGGTACATGGAGCTGAAAAGACATTCTGAAAGTATTTCAATGGAGCTTTGGTACCATTAAATTAACAGAACTCCAGTGGTGATCATCTAACTTGCCATAGAAGAGGAAAAAACAAATTTCAATTAAAAAAAAAATGGGGAGGAGAGGGTAGAAAACAATCCAGGTATACTCCTATATGGTTGATACTGATAGTGTAAAAAAAAAAAAAAAGAGAGACTTCTGGACTTAGCCCACATCATTCCACTGTTTTTCAACAGAAGGAATACATTTTAATATTGGTTGCTTTCCAGTCACAGAATAAGCTGCAATTTGCTGCAGCTTAAATTGATTTCATGTTTTTCGTTTACCGGGTTTCCACCTCCTCCCACCCTCAAACCATTCTCCTAAGAGAAAAACATTCCTCTGTGTGACTCACTTGAGTTTTGGATTTTTTGGCATTGGACCTGTCAGGTTCCTCTGTGTCAGAAGCTGCCTTTTCCCGCTGCCTCTTGGAGTTCTTGAGAGGAGAAGACACCTCTTCTTTTATCTTCTGCCACAAATGAAGCAGAACACAACAGTTACCAGTGGTGTAAATGCAAAAGTAAATTGAGCGTATGCCAGTGCTACCAAATTTAATAAAAATAAATGAATGGGGTTCCTATAGAGCAGAAGAACTGCTCAGAAGTTGAGATAGTATTTAACAACATTCCAATACCCATCTGTCCCTCTGTCCAATTACAAGTTGCAGGGGAATCTGCTCTGGAGTTGCTGGTGCATTCTGCTACTGCCAGGAGCAGCTCCCAGAAGACTTGTACCTACATGATGCTCTAGCCACTTCCTCTGGAGGTCAAATTTCAGCCAGAACCCAGAACACACTGCAATTTCACTTGTGCAGACAGAAACCCAAGGGGCAGCCTGCACACAGACCCTGCACGCATCTCTGACACAATCTAGTAGGAAAACGGAATATCGATTAAAGCATTCCTCATCATGCAGACGTGGTCTTGAGCTTTGAAAGTGAAGGAATACGTTAAACAAAGCAGTTGTCTTCAGCTGTGCAGAATCAAGTCCATCAGCAACCCATACCAGGCCAACCGGCCCAGTACACTCTTTAACAGAGACCAACACCAGTTGTTAACAGCGGAAGGAGCAAAGATTTCTGCAGTAGACAGGCACAGGATAAGCCTCTTTCTACTACATGAAAGTCTTGCTTTACTCCTGATATTTTGAGAGGGATATTTTTATATCCCCTCAAATATAGGGCTAACAGTGAGTAGCTATTACAAGATTACTACCTTCTTTCATGGCCTGAGGCAGCTTTATACATCACAATTACCTAACCTAACTTCAAATTTTACTAAGTTCTTAGTTCTATCATGCGAAAACTTGCTCCATACTCCAGTTTTGACTTGTTTTTCTTAAAAAATATTTATTTTTAACTTGCTACTTTTCGATTTACACTACTTAATGGCAAGCCTTCCCGCTTCATCTGGCTTTGCTTCTTCAGTACTCTCTTGGAAAGGCACTTAATTCATTTAAACAGACTAAACTGTCAGCTTGCTCTGAAAAATCAAGCAAATATTCATACCGCAAGACAGTAACAGAAGTAGTCTCAATTACTACATATTCACATTCCTTTGTAAATAAAGATTAAGTACTGCTTTAAAAAAAAAAAAATCCCCTAAACTGTCTGCTTGTCTCAAACACAGCATTTCTGATCTGTATTACTTCCATGAGCCTAATGCTCACATTTGCATCCGAAATTGAAGGATTAATTTATCATGAGAGCAGTAAGGTTATGTGGGGGTACTTTAATGGTTTTTATCACTACACATCCTTACGTGCAGGAACAAAGCATCAGTCAGATGCACCATTAAATTTTTTGCTTATCCACAGAAGTAGGAATTTCTAGGTCACTGACAGATTCCCTGGCCTCCTAGAATCTGCATCTCATTTATCTGACTGAAGAAGCCTCAGGTTTCCAGTCCTAACACAAAAGAAGAATGGGAAAATTTTACCTTGGTAGACTTCTTCACTGAATCTGCTTTGCTGTCATTACTGGAGGTGCTGGCAGCGCTGGGAGAGTTGCGGCCACTGGAACGGACGTCTTCGTTAATAGGTGAGGCTCTACCATCGGGGCTGGCTGGCTGCTTTTTACGACCACTACGTAGTGTAGACATCTATTTGTTCAACAGAAACAAAAGTGTATCAAAGTCAGCAGTTGTCACACCTCTATTT